CAATGGCGCCAGACAATGCCACGTTGGAGAATGTGGTAATGAGATACCCGACTCGGCTCCAGATTTGCAGGGAGTTGGCTCCCGCAGTGGATGTGCTATGAGTCGTCACAAAGGAGATTAACAACGTTGCGCTTCGACAGTTACAAAATGCGTTGACCAGCTTTTGGAGTTGTGCATGACTCTAGGCGTTACGCTGGAGTCCATATAAAAGCTTTCGTAGTAGAGTCATTTCTTCAGATCTGAGAAGAATTATTCCTTTTCAAGCAGCCGTTCTCAAGCGGAATCGGCTTTGACTTTCGCAAAGGACTCCCAGCTTAGTAACTTAGCTTTAGCTTTCTTGACAAAAGTTTCCGTTTAATTCAAGATTTTAGAGGTGGTCATGGCTGAGAAATGGTTGCAGTGCAGATCGGAGTTGCCAATTTTGGATTATGTAAGATTACAAAACAAAACAGAGTTTCTAAGAAATCAAAAAATGTTGACCTCTAGTGCGTAAAACTTACCTCCTCTTGCTTTGCTGTTGATGGCTGCGCCTCTTCCTACAAGATTGCTTTTGATTATGAATAAATGCTACTCAGTTTTGAGTAGAAACAAAGAAAAACCACCTCTACGTCACCTAATCCGCATGATGTAGCAGGTCTTAATTCTTGATGTCTCATTGAGCTTATTACGCCTCGTAAACCTCTTCGTTCCTTTCTAGCCTCTCGAGCTCTTCTTAGCTCCTGCTCTGTAGACTCCGGTCTACGCATTATCAAGAGCATCGGGAGATGCTGACGGATAGAACATTTAGATTTTTAGAAATTGATGCAATTGATTTTTGACTTACTCTCAGGAATAGCGTTCTCACCCAATTTGGCATAGTGTGCGTAGCCGGTCCACGGAAGTAGACATTTATTATGACAACAGTTACCTAACTCAATTAATCAGAACTGTAGCAATTAAAAAGATGTAATCTTACCATGATAGTAATCATATTCATCACAAAAGTCATTAACAAATACTTTGCCATAAGCGGAATAGTTGAAGAGGTTGGCGGCAATATCTGCAACAGTAGCCTCAACTATCAGC